CTACCTACATGTTTTTATTTATTTATTTTTCCCTATACTTGTTATTAATTTTCCACATACTAAAACTAATATTTTACCAAAGGCTTGTTAGTTTGAACACGCGAGCCTTGTCTAGAAGCGTTTGCCAAGTTGTTTGGCTCAAACTAAATTAAAGAAAACCTTCAGAATAGTGAATATCATGGAAGAGTCAGATGGACTGAAAATTATGAGAAGAACAATGTCTTGGCAAAGAGGAAAGGAGGACGAGTGCCTGTGATGAATTATTTTATCTACTCTCTGCTGTTGACCTTCTACTGTTTTCAAGTAGGATATTTATGAGCCCACAATTATTCTATTTATATTTGAGGTGCAATTTGATCCTGACATCTCTCCGTGCACTCAAGTTCTTGGTTTTTATTCATTATACTCACAGGAACAATACCCAAGAAGCATTCTTACATTTTTACTGAGCATCTTTCGAACATTCTGACATGCTGCAGGGCATTTGAAATTGGGGGTGGGGGGTATTTGCTAAAGAAAAGTTCAACTGAATAAAAAATCTGGGTATCTAAGGTGCAGATGGAGTCCCTGCAATGATTAGCCACATGTTTATTTTTGCTTCTAGGGCGAAGATGGACATTCAACACAGTGCTGAGGCTCGTTATATTCTCCCTGAGACTCTAGCAAGGGGTTATCTACATGCTATATAAAGATTGCCTTCTGTGAGAAAAGTCACTTTATGAAAGTCAGGGATACACTTATCACCTTCACAAGAGACTTTTGTCAAAAACGCAAGGCCGAGTATGAGGTGCTCAGCCATGGTAGACAGAACCTGTTTACATTTCAGAAAAGTCATAAAATGCTTCTTTGGAAGGCAGAACAGATGCTTCGTTCATGACGAAATGCTTATTTTCTTGTTCTTACATTTTTAAAACAAAGAACACTCTCTGAGACATTTTGTTTCATTTTTGTTTTTAAGATAACATCTCATCCTGTGGTCCAGGCAGGACTTCCACTTGTAGTCCTCCTGCTTCAGCCTTCTAAGTAACTGAGGTCACTGATGTGCTACCATGGGAACTTGTTTTTACCCCCCTGGCTCACTTGTAAGATAACTGGAACCATATAAATAAAATAAATATTTCCTTTTAAGACAAAGTCAGTCTTATAGTGATGTTTTGTTTTGTTTTGTTTTTTGGTACCAAGGATCAAACTCATGACTTTGTGCTTGCCAGGCAGGCACTTATGCTACTGAGATAAATCCCTGGCACAGTGATAGGTTTTAGATGACCTGAAAACTCAATAGTGCCACAACCCCAAATATTTAAAAAATACTGCACCAAGCAACAGAATGGACAATAAAAGGGAGTGATGTCCTGGCTAGCCTCCCTGGCTAAGTCAACTTTTTCTTGTTCAATAATTCCTCATTACAATAATTCTCATTATTTAACTTTTACTTTTTAATTTTTTGTGATCTTTTTACTAAAACAGCTTTAGCGAAGCATCAGCTAACAGACAAATTGTGTACATTTAACACACACACACAATTTAATGAGTTTGGATATATGCATATCTAGAAAAACATCAACAGAACTCAAGGTGATGGACATATAAATTACTTACAAAGTTTTTGATACTTTGCGACTTCTGATTTTAGATTTTTGAGGGATTTTTTTAAGAGGGTGGTTATGGTTAGAACACTAAACATAAAATGTACTCTCTCAACAAAATTTAAATATGCAGTACAATATTGTTGACTGTGGACACTGAGCTGTTCACTAATTCATTTTGCATAACTGAAATTTTATATCAAATGAACAGCCTCCTATTTCTCTCTTCCCGTGACCTCTTATAACCATTGGTCTATTCTCTGTTTCTATGAATTTGACTAATGTAGTTACTTCACACATATAAACATATAGTATTTGTCCTGCTGTGATTGATTGACTTCACTCACCCTAATGTCCTCTAGGTTTGTCTATATTGTTTACAATGTCAGGATTTTCATCATAAGGCTCAACGTAAGGCTGAACGAAATTCCACAGTATGGATGCATCACATTTCCTTTATCCAGTCATCTGTTAGTAGATATTTAAATCATTTTTATCTCTGCCATTGTAAATAATGCTGTAATAAGCACAGAAATGCATATTTCAAGAGCATAATTTTAATTACTTGTGATATATATCCAGAAGTGTGACTGCTAAATGATATAGAAGTTCTATTTTTCAAATTTTAAAAATCTTGTTTTCATAGTGGTTGTACAAATTTATATTTCCAACAATGTAACACATCCTTGCCAACATTTGTTATCTTTTTTATATTGTTTTGTTTTTGTTTATCACAATAGTCACCCTAACTGTTGTGAAGTACTAGCTAATTGTGGTTTTCATTCACATTTCTTTAGTGATTAGTGAGCTGAGTATCATTTCATACTGTAAATCTGTTGAACATGAGAATGTCTTCTTTGAAGAAATGTCTATTCAGGTCTTTTGCCCATATGAAAAACTGGATGGTTGGGGTGGTTTTTTGTTTCTTTGATTTTCATTTTGTTTTTATTTTGTTTTTGCTAGAGCTTCTGGTGTTCCTTATATTCTTTACCAGACGTATGCTTTGCCCATGTTCTCTTCTATCCACAGATTGTCTTTTCATTCTGTCGATTGATTGCTTTCTTCATTGTGTAGAAGCTCTTCATTTTAATGTCGCTCCATTTGTCTGTTATTGTTTTCCACACACACTTTTGATGTCGTATCAAAGAAATCATCATCAAAACCAATGTCAAGAAGATTGTCGCCATGTTTTCCTTTAATTTTACAACTTTAGGTATTACATTTAACTATTTAACACATTTCGAATTTGAGATTATTTCTGTGTATGGTATATGACAGGGACCTGATTCCCTTCTTTGGATATAACTATCTAGCTTTTTGAAAGCATGCCAGATCTTTCAGCTTTCTGTGTAAAGCATAGATAGAAGCTGATCCTTGGGGAAGCCTCAAAACCTTAAATGCAATAGAAGAATAGGCATGTTGTACATTCATCTCGCTCTCCACTAGAACTACAGGGAGATGTTGAGCCCTCTCAGAGCTCAACTATGTTGGACTGGGAGTGGGACTGATAAAGTGATGTTCTTACGCATTTAAGCAAAGTTAATCTCAATTTTTGGTTTCTGGAGTTCTATACTTTTTCACATATTTCCTGTATCATTGTTAAATAAGTGTTTCTATAGGGGAAAGGCTGGAACTTACTCTTTGATAAAACTCAAAAACTTACATTTTTAAAAATAATGAAATACAGAAAGATATAGACAATTTATTGTGAGACATTGGAAAAGACCCAACTAGGATAATGTTCTAGGGAAAGCAGGAAACAGAAAATAATGATGATTGTTTCTAACATGGTGGAATAGAAAATAGTATCGAGAGAAAACTGTCAAGACCATTGTCTAGTTGTTTGCCAGTGTGATCAGGGTTATAATACATCATCCTGCTGGGGGTCACAGCAAGCCCCTTCTCTCACACTGTAGAGATTAGTTTGGCTTATTGCTGAAAACACTATTGGAGGATCTAGATTACATATTGTAGTCTGCCTGCTTCTGCTGAATCATCACTACAGAGCCCTAAAAGACAATGTTTTTGGGCTGGGTAGTCAAAAGTCCTGCAGAAGTTAACTGTATTTGCTCGGTAATGACGCTGCTAAAGGAGCTGGCCCTGACACTCTCCAGGGACAGAGCACAGGAACAGGGAGATCTGGGTTTCCTATGTTGTTGTCTTTCTGGGCATGGATTCAGGCTTTGATCCTAGGGAGTCCTATTCATCTCGTATTCTATGCCAACCCCAGCAAGATTCCGCCATCATGTTCATGACTATGTTCATGACTATTGGTAGAGTCAGAGACTGGCAGAGAGCAAATAAGAATATTGCAATCATAACCCTTTAATAAATCTAGTAAAAAGAGATTGTGACACATATAAAGGTGATTTCCATTTGTGCATTTTGTATTCAGTTCTATGCTAATAAATTTGATAATCTCAATGACAAGGAAGAAATTGAAAGTCTATAAGAAAAGTTTTAAGTTATCATGAAATAACTTTCCCAAAAGACTATAGAATCAGATAATGAATGCCTAGATTTATATTATGGATAAATTATTTCAATCTTTTGAGAAGTCAATAACTTCCACACAACATAAACTATTCTGCAGTATAACAGAAGATGAAAAGCTTCCCAGTGTACTACATAAAGAATTATCTAGGGTATAAGAATCTTAGAATTTCCTAGACAGGTGACTTTATATGATCTCCTCAAGACCCAGTACTTTCACATATAAAAAAGATAATAAAGCATACACTTAATAAAATTACTATGAAATTTAAATAGGCTAATATATGTAAACCTCAGTGTAGTAGATTCCCAGGGACACATTACACACTTGCAAGGTTTTTTTATTTTTTCAGAGCTTATATAAAATTCTGTTATAACTTAAGTGAGCTACTTACTAATTTAATAGAAAGTGATATAAAAATCTAAATAAATATAATGAAATTCAGTACACTAAGACAATCAGGAATAAATGCAAGGATGATTCAGTTTTAGGACAAGTGCCAGTGCAATGAGTTCAGCTACATCAATACACTAAATAAGATCTATGACATTTAAATACTCCATTCCTGATATGTCTTTATTAGTGAGAGGGGAAAGTAAAGTATCTCCTTAATCTTCTCAAACAAAAAATGGAGCTGGACAATAGTTAAAAGAATAAAAACAGATTTTTGTTGCAAGGTTATTATGGTACTGTAAAAGAAACCTCAGGATAGAACTGGGTTCAATATCACATACAACACTGGCAAATGGGAATTTATAACCAAAGAAGAAAGTATGGAGCAAAAAAAAGAAAAACTACTAAAAGCAAACATTGGGGAAAAGGAGGGATTCTGCTTAAGTCAACTGTCAGTTACTTTTTACTCAATGATGGGACAAAATATCTGACACCCAAAATGAAGGAAGCAAAGGTATAATTCTTACAGTTCTTGGAAGTTTTAGTCCATACTCAGCTGGCTTCAAGGCAGGGTGGCATGGCGGGGCTGCAGTTCATGGCACCTGCAAACAGCAGGTGGAAGCCTGCAAGAGAGAAAGAGAGAGAGAGACACACACCCTCTTCCCACCATTCCCACATCGTATCCTGGCTCTACCCCTAGGTGGGTGTAGCGCCTATTTGAGCACTAGACAAGGAACCCATCACAAATGCGTAATTACATGAGGCTTGGGGGCTACTGATGTAAACCACGACACCAACTTAACAGGAGTCTTGGTTAAAGGCAGGCTGGAGTGACCAGGCACCTGGAGATGGTGGGGAATGCGATATGGAGGGTGACCAGACACTTAGAATGTGGTGACTTCTGGTTAAACTGCCTTTAGCAAAATTCTTGCTAAAATTGGACAATGCAGAGACACACACAAAATTTTTATAAAACCAAGACTTAGTTGAAAGAGTTCAGCAAAATCTGAATAGAATTTAATATAGGAGGAAATCTTTGTTGATACATGAAGCCAATAACATTGTAATGATGAGACATTAGAAACACTGCCACTGAAATCACAAGCAACACACAGATGTCTGCCAATTCCAATTTAATGAAGGATTGCCATGCACCAAACTTATCTAAAAATCTATTCATGTAAAGTGGCCTCATGTCAGTTTCAGCCAAAAAAATAAAAAACCAAAAACAAAAACAAAAATGAAAAAAAACGCTGCCAACAGAAATCGCAAGGCCCAAATTAGGTAAGGGGGGTATAGATGGAGCTTATTCATCTTCTTCTTAAAGAGAACATTTTGCTGAGCATCCATTGTGAGGCCACCAGGCATAAAGTCACTGTCCAAAAGTTACAGAGCAATCAGGGCCTGATTCCCAGAGCACCACACAACCACAGCGCAGACCTGGACCACAAGTCATTTACCGTGGGTGCTTATTACCCATTTGTTAACACCCATTTGTTACAAGCCTGAACATGACTTACAATCCATTTGTTAGTTTTGTGTGTGGTTCTTAAAGGAGTAGCAGCATCTGGAAACTACTTAGAAGTCCAAATTCTTTGGCACCCACCCTTACACCTATTGAATAAAAACTCTGGAGGAGAGACCCAGCAGCATGGTCTTTAACAAGCCCTCTAAGAGATTCTTAAACCATTTGAAGAGGATAGAACTTACACCACTTAAAGGTCTTAAGCAACTATCTTTCAGGTCTCTTAAAAGTGATGTAGAAGTTTTGGTAAAATATATATTCTACTGATGAGCAGATATGATTCGAAAAGAAGTTTCAACTCTCAGAAAAAAATGTAACTCAGATTGTCCCTTTATACACAAGAGTCCAGTTGACATGGACTCAAGATACTGTGCGTGGGTGCATTTGTGGGAGTGGGGTTTGAAGGACATTGTGGTGGCAGTTGTTTTTGTCCCTGAGCTGTAGAAAGATGATATAAGCACAAGACGGAGTGTAATTGCCCCAGCAAAATACAATCTTAGTCAGGTGTGGTGGTGCAATCCTGTAATACCGTACTTGGGAGGCTGAGGCAGGAGGATGATTCAGAGCCTGGGCTATGGAGAGCTTCTCTCCGGGGAGTAGGGGAAAGAAACTTCAAGATTAGATTTTTTTGAATTACAGACAAGTGGCTTCTCCAAACCTCCTGAGGCCTAGGGCATTTAATGTTCCTTATTCTCCCCAGTCTAGATGAATGGACAGAATATTTAGATAAGAGCAGCAGGAGGTCAAGCCCATTCATTTCCACACCCAGAAAGGGAGGAAAAAGATCCGCACCCAGAAAGGGAGGAAACAAGCCTGAACATGTCTATTATCTCACTGTCACCCAACCCTCCCCTCAGAGTTCCTTGCTAAAAAAAAAAAAAAAAAAAAAAAAGACCCTAACACACCTAGGTGCAGGGCCTCTCTGTCTCCTTACAGCCAGCTTTAAATAAATCTGGTTTTCTTTTGACAAAATAAATGGCCTTCTTTGATTTGGTCAGCAGTAAGCAAATGAGCCTGAGTGCACAAACCTACATGGACCCAACAAAATGGGGAAAAAGTCACAAATTAAAATGCCAGTACATTTAAAAATTTTGAAATGAAATGAAAAACGAATAAAACACTTTCAAATTTAAAAAGCAATGACACATTTAAAAATTTTTCTGGAAAATACGACAAAGAATTGATATTTTCCCCATGTGAACCATAGCATAAAAAAAGAAGTCTCAATAACGAATGGAAATGCTGGGTCAGGAGATTAGCTCCGTGACAAGAGTCCCAGCCTGGCAAGTGCGAGGTCATGTGTTCAATTCCCAGTACGAAAACAAAAGGAAATGCTTATAACATAATGTATCAAATGAAAGCAAGTCACATATACATATGTAGAGAAAGCTTGAAAGATAAAATAACCTTCATGTACACATACATATACCATATTCAAAAGTAACTTCCAATACAATGAGTAGTTATTTCTGAATTATGGCATATGACTAAATCTTATTTTTCTTTAAGTTTTTATGACCTCCAATTTTCTACGATGTATACAGATTACTTTCAACATCAAAGAAAAATGCACAAAATATGGTTATCATGAAAGAAAAAAAATAAAAATTTCTCCCTCAATTCTCACATTCACACATAATATTTCTAATATAGATAGTAAAAATGCGGCATGGGATTACTTGCCTCCACTCACTTGAACCTAGGCTGCACCCCAGGCCCCCCTGACCAACACATCTGAGCCCTAAAGGCTACTACCAGAAGGCAGGGAAAACAAACAAACAAACAAAAAAAACACCCTAGGCCCACCTTAGAAAGTTCTGAAGTCCCAAACCAAGATGAAAAATTTAAAAAAAGCTATATCTAAAAGAAAATATCAAGAATCTTTCTTAAATTACAGTTATTTTATTGTATATTACAACATAATAATAGAAATAAAGTATTCAATAAATGTAGTGCACTTGAATCATGCAGAAACCTCATGGTGAAAAAGTTGAATTCCACAAAGCCAATCCTTGGTGACAAAGTTTGGGAATCACTGCTCCAAAGGATCTCTACATCCACAGGTATGTACAACAGTAAAAACTGGAATTTTCCAAACAATTTCAGTGCTTAAAATGTGGGGTGCTGATGCTCTTTTGCCTCTGCAATTGCCTTCACTATTTTCTACTTTCCAAACATCATCTTCAGTGTATCACTCCCCCAAACCTGCCTCATGAGAAGACATATTCCTGACAGTCTGAAGGTCATTTCAAAGCAAATTTCCCTGTTGAAAATCACCAGCTTTCACTCCAAAGAAATCCAGCAGATGCTGGTTAAAATCATAAGGATTTTCTGATGCTTCTGGGATAAGCCAAATTTACTCAGCTTTTTTTTTTTTTTAATTTACTCAGCTTTTGGTAGGCTTCAAAGGCTAGTTGTGTTAGCTTTCTGCTACCAGTGACAATACACGGGAGATAAGCAACTTGTGTCAAGACATGTTTATTCAGGGCTGGGGATTTAGCTCAGTGGCGTAAGTGCCTGCCTTATAAGCAGGTGGTCGTGAGTTCAATCCCTGGTACCGATAAAAATGAAAAAGACAAAAAAAAAAAAAAAAAAAAAAAAAAAAGATGTTTATTTTGGCTCACGGTTTTGGAGGTTTCAGCCCATATTTTGCTTTCGGATGTGTAGTAAGGCAGCACATTACAGTAGGCACTCATGGCAGAGAATGCTATCCTGGTGGCCAGCAAGCAAAAGACTGAGAAGAAGGACAAGAATTTCAATATTCTCTTGAAAGGAACGCCCCAACGACCCAACTTACTTGCACTAAGCCCCACCTCCCAATAGCTTCAAGCTGGACCTTTTGTGAACAGTCCAGATCCCAACTATAGCACCACTCCACGTTGTTCTCAGACTATTAAAATAAAAGAGGGAAGACGACATTAAAGTAAAATAAAGGTTGGAAAACTTTCAAGGAGACATACTGCTTTAAAACTAAAAACAAAATGTATTAAGAGTTCATCATAGATTAGCAATCAACTATTCCTTCAGCCTATGTAAACCAAGATTTTTCTTTTTTTGGTACCTGATTGAGTATTTTGGGACTCGAACTAAAGGCACAGAAATAATGAGGAGAAAGACAAAATAACAGAAAGACCTTTAGAGCAGCTCATAGGTCATGGGGTTGGGAGAGCAGCTCGAACCAGGGGAAGGGTCACAACGCTGCCTAAAGCTCTGAGTCTCAAATGGCACCAAATGATTATTTTTGGGCACTCATTCTGAAGTGTGCAGAAAGGATGAGAGAGAAAAAAAGGAGACAAAGGAGGAGGCCTTTAACGTGGGCACAGGAGAGCTTCATGGGGCAGGGGCTACAGAGGCTCTCATAGGAGAACAAAGTATCCAGGATCAAACTCACAACCTCACACTTGCCAGGCAAGCGCTTGTGCTGCTGAGCTAAATCCCCAGCCCAACCAAGCCTTTTTTGTGAAGATATCAGTAAAATACTAAGCTTAAGAAGGTCTGAATACAAAAAACGTACAAATCTTGAAGACTGTACAGTCTCTTTATAGATGAATAATGTGTTAAGAAAAATGATTTATCATGTCGACTGAAAAATCTCTACAACTTTATGGTCTGTGCGGTCTTAATTAACTTTACATCTTCAGATATAGATCCATTCTTTTGATATCAACAAAAGAAACAAGCTATGGGATATATAAAAGTAATGTTGTTTGGTCTTTCTAATAGAAAAACTATTACTTCTGGCCTTAAAATAAGTGTATTACTGGTTTTCTTATAAGGGTTACAAAAAAAAAAAGTCTAAACAGAAAACCCATTTCTCTTTCTAACATTGCCTGGAGCAGTAACACAAGTCAGAAAATCCGTGTATGTGGTGTGTGTGTGTGTGTGTGTGTGTGTGTGCACGCGCGCGCGTGTGTGTTTCTGCGTAATGTATATATTACATTGCTCTTTTTCATAGAATATTTTTCAATCCTCTCTTACTAATGTTTAATTTTGTTAAGTACTAATACAATCCGAGAACTAATTCTAACTGATCCTTTAAACATAAGGGATGGCTCATAATGATATTGTTTCACCCAAATAGAGATTAAAGAATAATGT